GTCTCCAAATGGCTTGCGTCGCGCTTGTGCTGGAGCTGGGGTAGAATATCCATGAAACTCCCCACCTGCGCGGCGGCACGAAGTGCCAAACGCGCCACTCGAGGATAGAGTCTTTGGACAGCCCCAGTTCCCCCTGGAGGCAAGGCTGCGGTAGGCTTAGTGTTACGTTTCGAGTTCCATGGGATATATCTGGGCGTAACCTTGCCAGAGCGGAGGTCAAATGATGTCTATTACGAGAGAAGGAGCAGCCGGAGGAGTGTAGGTGGACCGACAGACCACTTGTTCACGCCCGGTGGACCTTGCTTTTCGCGCGACAGGAAGGGGCGGAAGGAGGGGCGCCGAGCAGTGGCGGAAATTACGGCGCGGGAGATGATGATCCTGCAGTGTTCAGCACCGTCGTCGAGTTCACTAGCTAGCATGATTTTGCATGAATGGGTGTCCACGGAGCGATTTTTTACTGGAGTCGGGTTTACCATCACGACGCCCCGTGACCTTTCGAAATGATAATATCAAAAAGAAACGGTTCGTTCCATGAGCGTTTGCCCCCAACGGAACCGATATAAAAGAAAACGGCCCGCACACCGTGCAAAAGATCTGATGTTTTGCATGTATGAACTACAACAAAATGTTTCACGAAACACAGGTAAATACTCCGCCGTATGAGTTTCACGCCGTCTGATGGTGCACCGTCGCCAAGGCCGCGGATTCTCGCGGTTCATCCTCTGGTGTAAGAAATCACTCAGTGACAATATACTGAACGACGTACCGACCGTTCCACTCCACTCCGCGAAACTTGAACATCTAACTCCTCGTGCAATTGCTCTGCTCAGTTCCATGATGCCAGGAGGAATAAAAAAAGGGTCCGCTCTGCTCCATGACAGTGTGAAATACTAGCAAGACGCAAGACGCTCCGCGGTGGATTGCTACCGTATGAACACCGCTGGAACTGTTGGTCATGATAGGCTTCTTCATGCCGGTCCTTGTGCGTACATCTAGTTGTATATAGTTGTGACCGTACCCTAAATGCACTTCCTCACTCCGTCCTTGTCTTCGTCTCCATCGCAAACAGGCAAGCGAGGCGGTCAAGGGGTTCTCGTAGGCTCCGACTCGCCTTTTTCGGGTGTGAGGACGATCCTCGGAGCGGGACGTTTTGTATGGAGGGACTGTTGGACGTGCACCAAGGTTCAAACGGAGTGAAGTGGAGGTCCGAGTCTGAGATAAACACGATTCTGGGTTTTGCGACGTAGGACTAGGGCACGTGTTCTGGCGATTTTCAGGAATGTATGCATTTTATCGGCACCTTGCCGTGGAAAAGAGGACCCTACCTCACTTAGCCTCGGCTACTTCGGTGGGTATGTAGTTCGTTTGAGCACTTTGGATTTTCATTCGAGTTTGGTGACGCCTGTCTACAGCCTCTCAACCAGACTGGGTGTGAGCCCGACGGTCCTAGTTTCGTCGCGTGGAAATCAGGTACCAAGTACTCAAGCTGTTTGTCCCTGCCCACCGTTTCTCCAACTGTTTAGAAGAGGCACCCCGGGTATTGAGCGTACACGCCTGAAGGACTGAACCACCCTCTATTTCGACTGCATCCGCGGACTAATGAATAAATGATAAACAACAGATTCTTGTTCAAATACGTGTTTCATGATTCTTTGGCGATCAGAAATAATTGTTGCTGCGCCGGGACCCCGCTAGAAGCGACCGAACACAACGAGATGTTTTTCCGAGTGTGCCAAATGAATGCAACGTATCCACCCCCATCCAACAAAAACAAAACATGCCATGAAGACAGAGCGACACCGTCTGTGGTGGGGTGTGACAATACAAAAAATGCTACGGGTATTTTCAAGCACAAGAAGCCGGCTCCTCGGGAGTGATACTTTCAAGTCCGTGAGGTCATCCTCCCACTCCAACCCCCTGCTACCTAGGATGTACGAAAATAGGACAAAAACGAAGTAGAGACCACCTGACCCCGAAGAGCAGAACATAAAATCGAGGAGGAACACAACACACTGTTGTCTTGCCACGCTGCACAGAGGTATCCACGGTAACGGACCGACAGAAAGACGCCCCGCCCCCAACACCTCCATGACGCCCTCGAACCAGTTCGCCCCCAACACAATGAACAACACGTGCATGTGCATGGCACGCAAAGTGTCTGGTTGGGTACCGTCCTTTCCAACTCGCGTCGAACAGGCTATTGTGCAGGTCTTCGTCGTATTCCATGCGCCGGTCGCTGGTTTCCTGTATGGGAGAGTTAAAAAAAGAAACTTGAAGTGACCAGGTTGTCAAAGAGAAAATTCGGCGGAGCCGATTGCCACAATCCTTCGTTTGACGTTTCATATAAACCGCGAGGTGCTAGGAACCTAAAATGGGTCAAGAAACAATGTTGTCTGTCGAGCTTTAGCCCGGGGTCTATGTAGTGCGAACACAAGAAGAGGAGAGTCTTCGTGGAAGTACAGATCGCAAACTACTGCTGCTGTAAGCAAGCACGATGGGCCGCGTATTTATTGCTGCTGCTGTGTATTTTTTTCGCGTTCGTACGGGGTGTGTGGGACCATATTTTGGTGTGTGTGCGTTTATTTTAGCATCGACCGCGCAAACTGGCAGACCAACGACTTTACGTCAGTCTAAGCGCGGTTGAAAACACGAAACTTTTCTAAATGCCATGAATGTATGTGTGCGTGCGTTTTGGGGCGGTCATGAGGTACATACTATGGTGATGAGGGGCATCTGCGCACTACATTCATACTGACTGCTGTACAGACGTCATACACTCAAGTTCTGTGCTCGTTGTCGGGTGACGTATTGTAGCGTACTGCCTGTGATGATAAATATTGCCGCGTCGAGCAAAATATGGCAAATGTCCGAAGGTCGCAAACGATCACCAAATGGCTCGTATGCATAGTCTAGACGTGGGCTCCAGTGGTACATGTATTTTTTGCTTCGTGTCGAAAGCTGCATGTGTTGGATCCTCTTTTCGCATTATACTTTTGGTACAAAAACTGGGGGGGTGACAAACACGAGCGTAGCTGTCATTTTTGGTTGTAGACTGTCTATTCTACACTGCGTGTTCGGCCGCCCACAACCCAAACCTTGTACTGCATCCCAAGGCTGCTGCATTCCACTTAGCGATCTACACTCCTGTGCTACTGCAGCACGCGTATGCCGCATCTCCTGAAGTGGAGAAAGAGCTCACCTGCTGTGCAGTACGTCTTCGTTGGCAGCCGCTGCAGCAACCTCCGAGCTCCAAAACCCACACCATCCTCCGGGTCTTCGAAGGGCGCGTCCTGGTCGCCCCCTCCCGTAGCACCGTGAGGCTTTTTGTCCATCGAACGCGACCCAGTCGCTGCTGCTGTAGGGGAACCTCCTCGAACCCCACCTATGCCGCTGCTATGCGGAGCCTGCTGTTGTTTCCCCGCAGCACATGGGACTTTTCACCACTGCCTCCAGCTGGTCTACGGACCTGCGGGCCCGTTTGGCTTCGGGGATCTGCTGCCCTTCCATCTGTAGTGCTACTGCGCTAGTGGGTGGGCTATGTGTTACTTGTCGCGGCTGTAGGGGCTGTGCCTGGCCGTATACAGGACGAACCCTTTGAACCTACGTGTTTTCACCCCTTATATGCCCACCCCCCTGAACCTACGTGTTTTCACCCCTTATATGCCCACCCCCCAATAACGCATAAATGTTTCGGTTTCATGTTTTTTTTTTGTTCCGGTTCAGAGGGGTATTTTCTCCGGGCTGTTCTGCACCCCATTAATCCCTGACTTTGGCATCGTGGAAGTGACCCAAATAACACCCAAAAAATAGGACAGCAGTGAATGAAGCCAAATCGCGTAAAAACGCGCCTCCGGCGGGGCGCCTCGGGCCTCCGGGGGAGCCTCCGGCGGGACCCCCTCACCAGCCGGGGAGGGCCGCGTGGTCAGTGTACTGATAATGCCCAGTAAACTGGCTGCATGCCGCAGCCAGTTCTCCTTGTACTGGCGCGCCAGTCCCCAACCCTAACTGTTTTTGTGTTTATATACAATTAGAAGTAAAGATACGTAAATGACACAAGATAACACATCCCCTGGACCGATTTTCAAAGCTCGATTACTCCACCACGAAGAGGATGCATACACGAAATGATACATTTTCGAAAAGCTCTCGACGAGACGGTTCTAACGCCGCCGTTTTCGGCGCTATGACTCTTCCTGCTGTTGAGAAATCAAGCTTTGAAAATTGGTCAAGGGGGAATGCTATCTTGTGTCCTATACTGTACGGTAGGCGACATTTTTCGTGGACATGTATGTGTACATAGACTACAATACACCACCCACGAGTACACGCCAGATATATATTCGTATGTGGGTACGATTGTACAGGTTGACATCGAATGTTGACCCCGACCTGACGCACGAGCAACCCTGTCCAGGAGTGTACGTCGTGGTTACACTGCCTTCGGTCTGTGTCTCTCTGTCTCTCTTGCGCCATGACTGCTGCA